AGTCAGTCAGAAATACTGTACAATTAAAATTTACAATGTAATTCACAATTGAAAATGCAATGCAAAGCTATACTAGTTAGTTATTGTCCTTGAAAATTCTGAAAAGTCCTCTGTATTTAATTATTTAAATAACACTTAAATATGGAGTTCATACGTTGAGTCACTGATAAAGAATCCTGTTTGTTTGTCCTCATTAAATTACTACTTTAAAAAACCATCTATGCACTCGTCAGGGATTTCTACTCTGCTTTCTGCTTTGCTAGATATGGTATCTAAACAATGTTGCACAGGAAACTGCTATAAAATCACCAGTGTTGTTCCTGTGCAGAAAACATCCAGTCAGCGGGTCCCAATGCGGCAGGATGACTGTGGACTGCATGTGTCATAATGAACATGGCTGCATATCCAAACGAGACAACACAGATTGTAAAAAAGCAACACAGATTGTCTCAACCTTGTTGATTCAGAGACAAGGGCAGTACTCATTTCCACATACTATCTTAGATGTTAAAACTAACTTGAACAGGGAAAACTGTTAAAGCCATATTGTGCTGCATACAGTGGGATTAGTGTGATAATGACTGGCTAGCATTGCTCCTGTGACATGTATTTGAGTTCTGTATTTGCATTAATAAATAGTTTTTCTCAGAGAATTCTATCAAACAGATTTACTTTGGCAACATTATGTGCCTGCTCAACAATTATATTAATAAGGAAAGCAGTTGTGTGGTCCCTATATAGAATATGGGGTGCCACAGGATGCTAAAAGCACGGAGAAGGCAATCCGGTCACAGATCTTCCCTCCACACCAGCAGCCAGCACAGAAAATTGTGGGGTGGGGGCAATGTGCTAGGGAAGACAGGGGAAAGGAGAGTTTTCAACACACAATGGCTGGGTTTGCACAATACAACAATGGATTGTCTTGTCATGTGAACCTAGACAGACATCCCCAAGATGATTTGTTCATGGATAACAAGCCACCCTGACAACCCATGGGCTTATTTTTGCTCAGAGACTTCTAGCATGGACTAGATGGACTACTGCTCTGATCCAGCATCATGGTCAAGTTGGGACATTTTAGCCAGTACAACACAATGGTTGTAATGTGCCTATGTCTGGGTTCACAAAGCACAGCAAACAACTCTGCACTGTTTCCACAGTGTACAGATGTTTTCCTGAATTCAGTTGTCAAACAAACATGTGGTCACACAGGGAGAGCAGTTTCTGTACTCCCAGCTCTCCACACAAACCAGCATCCCCCACAAGTGAAATCTTCTTCCTTTTCCTATTCTTGCTTAAGGACCACAGGAGCCTTCTCCTGTCTATCTGAGAACCTGGAGGTGGGGGTCTAGGACTGCATTCCTAAGGAGGGAGTCCCCCTCCCCTTCCCAAGTATACCTGCATGTCCGTAGCGCTTCCCACATTCCAGCACCCACAGCGGTTTTCATTATGTGAAAGTAAATCACCAGTTTTTCCTCTGCTCCCTCCATGAATTTTCACACTGTTCACCCATTTCCAAAAGCACACAGGAATACAGACACATTGTTCAGCCCATGGGAATAAAGAAAGAATGATGCATCCATTGCTAAGGAGTTGAACGCCATAGAGACTGAAGGCTAATGTCCATAGCCACTCATGTCAGGGGCCTTTATGGTGCTTCCATTCCCAAAATTGTAAAATGGCAGCCTTGGGTCCAGATGACTGGGAAGCTGTGGTGAAACATGGAGACCATAGAACAGATTGTTAATTACATCTGTGGTTTCAGAAAACTAATCCTATCACACAGGAAATCTGGAGCTGGGTTTGGGTGGCTCAACAGACCCTCAATTTCACAACATTGCATCATGTCATGTTCCACCCTATTTGATGCCAGTACTACTGGCTACACTGGCTACTAGATTGCAGGCTTCCCTATCCAGCACATAACTTTGCAGTTGATACAATGTAAAGCCATGGAGGAAGAGTCAGTTATATAGCTTCTCCATCCACCTACTATGGAATACCGTGGCCTTCCTCCTTAGGATATTGGATTTTAAAAACCCCCTCAGCCAGGATGCTGTAAGGCTGCAGCATGGCAGGCACTATAAAGGTACCTCACTTTACTTAAATAGGGTACATGTAATGTGTCAAATTCTGATTCCTAGATAACTTTGCTTCACTGCATCAACTAAAGGCCATTTCATTTGTTAGTGAATAAATATTTAGTTTTAGGGTATTTAACCATTTTTGAAAGGCAGGAAAAGAGAAATATTTAAAGAAAATAGACCTTTCTCAAAGGTGAAAAAGAAGCAAATTCTGTTTGAAAACTGTGTTCAACACCAATATAATAAGGTAACATCAATATAATAATTTGGGACTGAACTGTCTTTACCTGCAATAGTGAACTTACTTGAGATCAAGTATATATTAAAAAGTGCAAAACACAAATTAAACAGTGTTTTGAGTTTTTTTTAATTTGAAATTGGCTGCAACCAACTTTTAAACAAACACTACACAATGAGTTTCTGATAGCATCTCTCCTTTCTTGCCAAAATAAACTCTCCTGTTCCAGCAGAAATCAGTCTTTCACTTCAAGTTAACAATAGTTTCAGTGGTGTGTTTATATAAACAAAGCAAGTAATGAATAAAAACACTTAGGACTCTCCCAGAGCATAACTTCAAGATCAGTATTAATAAGGACAAAGAGCTGTGTTAGTAACAAGGATAAAGAGCCATGTAGTGCAAACAATCACACAATTTTCTCTGATTCAGGTTGTAATCTTATACACCAGATATGGATTTAGCACAATCCAGTTACACCTTTATATGGTACTGTCAAGAAATATTCCCCTCACTCATGACTTTTCCATATTTGGTCTTGTTACAGCCTGGAATTGAAATGGATTTAATTGACATTATTACCACCTCAATATGACTGAGAGTCTGTAGCAAGACTTGAAAGTTGCAGTTTACCAATGGCCCCGATCCTCACAGGAGTAGTTTTCCCAGGTAGAATAAGCAAGCTTTGAAGGACCCAGATGTGCAAGGTTGGTGGAGTTTTTACCATGATGGCCTACAGCTGTGATTGCTGACAAGTGGGCTTCTACCAAGTACATAGACTATTTTTTTCAAGATTCTGATAAATTCAGATTCTTGGTGACTGTGTTGGCTGAGTAGCTCCTGAGGTGGAAATTTTTAGAGGAAACAGATTATCTGGATCCATTTAAATTGGGTTTCATGACTGAGTTCAGGACACAAACAGCTTTAGTCACCCTGTGGGATGACCTCTGCCATGAAAGAGACAAGGGAAGAATAGCCTTGTTAGTTCTCCTGGACCTCTCAGCAGTTTTCAACATCATCGACCATGGTGTCCTTCTGGACAGGTTGGCTGGCTGGGGTTGGAGACACTGCTTTGTAGTGGTTCCAATCTTACCTGGCTAACCAGGTAGTGCTGGAAGGTGGTGCTGGAAGACAACTGCTCAGAGCCATGGCAGTTACACCAGGGGGTAACTCAGTGCTATACTCATGCTCTTCACTATCTACATGAAACTGCTGGAAGAAGTCATCTGCAGGTTTGGGCTACAATTACAGCAATTTGCTGATGATACTCAACTCGACCACCAGGTGAGGATGTGTCTGTCCCTGTCCTGAACCAAAGCCTGAGCTCAATAATGGACTGGATGAGGGCCAAAAAACAGAGGCTCAATCCAAGCAAGACAGAAGTGCTCCTGCTGGGCAGTCTGTCAGGTAAGTTGAATGGCCTATGCCCTGTCTGGGATGGGATCATACTCCCCCTAAAGGACAGGGTTCACAGCTTGGGGATACTCCTGGATCCAAAACTCTCACTTGAGTCCCACGTGGATTCAGTGGCCAGCAACACCTTCCTTCAGTTGTGCCTACCAACTACAGCCATATCTTGACAAAGCTTACCCACAGTAACACACACCCTGGTAACTACTGGTTGGCCTACTGCAACACATTCTATGTGGGACTACCTTTAAAGATGGTCTGGATATGCCAACTAGCTTAAAGTCAGGCTGCGGAATTGCTAACTAGAACACAGCTCATATCAAACCAGTTCTATACCATCTGCACTGAATACCAGTGGAAGTCTGGGTCCAATTAAAAGAGCTTGTACTTATATATAGCAGCTTAGCAGCTTGGGTCCTGGGTACCTGAATGATTGCCTTCTCCCATATGTCCCATTAAAATCAAGTGAGGAAGTCCTTCACAAGGAGCCATCCTCTGGGGATAGTGAGGGGGATGTTGGCTTAAAAGAAGGGAGTGGTTGTGCCCCACCTTTGGAATAGGCGTTTCTGGTGCACCTGGTGCCATCACTGTTATCATTTCGGGGCCAGGCAAACACATCCCTCTTTTCTGGCTATTTTAATACTTGATTTCAGTGGTAGATTGTAACTGACCCTTTAAATATAAATTTGCTTATTTTAATGCATTTTAATTGATACATTATGTTTCATATTTTGATTATAATTATGTTAATATGTTAAATGTGCTAATTTTATTCTGATTTTAGAATGGGTTGTTGTTTTAATTGTTGTGAGCTGCGCAGACAGCCATGATATGGGCTATTATAGCAGAATATACCTTGAAATAATAAATTAAAAATGATTCCAAAAAGGTCACCATATCTGCAACTTAAATAGATTTTTCCATATTTCTTAGTACATATATTTTGCTTTGCAGAATATCCTTGGGTGCTAGTCAGTATGTTCAATGTGAAAAAACCATTCTTGCATTCTCTTGTGTTTGTTTAGATTTAAAGAATTCAACTAGCATAAATATAGCTTCTTATGAAAATGTCATGCAGGGCTCTTGATAGTAGCTTAACTCCATTACAGAGGGATATTGTTTCTGAAGTTGTATCTTTAGGGCCTTTAAAGGTCTAAGTTTGCAGAATTACCTCATTTTAGTTTGTATTGCCAATTACACTCTGGCAGATGGAAGTAAGAGTTTTAGAAAGAACTAAATGTACACAGGAGAGTAAAACAGAAAATACTTACCCCTCTGAAATGCCAGGCTTTGGTGGAAGAAAACAAGGAAAAGTTGTTCTGCTGCTGAGGCCTGCAAGATAAAACAGGAGAAAAGAGTTTTTTTTCACACTTCCTTCATTAGCATCAGCTGGAAAGAAATATATTAGTGCTTTTCTTCACACATCACATTTACTAACACTTTTTTAAATTAACTGTATTCCTGAGAAATTTTCTTTCCACTATAGGAAACTGGTTTGACAGAGAAGAGAGAAAAATCTCTGAAGTTTCTTGACAAGACAAAGGTGTGCTAAGACATATGCTATTTTCATATAAATTACAAAAAGGAGCAGGGGATTAAGAGAACTGTATCACTGACCTCTCCCCCAAATTTAAACACTCTCTTTCCATAACAATTTCCCCCAAGAGTCACAGGGGGATAAGCACATCTTTGGAACCCCTAAACTTTAAAGGCCTGCTACTGTTGTTGCTCTACATGCTGCAGCACATGCCATTCAAGGCAACCCAATGAATAAATAGTAGCCTCTGGGGTACTAGGGTGGTATATAAATGCAAATAATGAATGAATGAATGAATGCACTCCAAATTGTCCTGTCCTGTTCTTCTGAATCTTCCGAAATGATTCCAAGCATCACTTTGCTTGCATGGGAAATTAGTACAATGGCCCTAAAGCTGCTGCACTCCTTAGCATTTCTGTTTGAGGGAACTGCAATGTTCACAGAGCATTTCCAGTGTGTGGGTCATTGTTTTCTTTTCCATATGTATTTTACATTCTTGTTAGCATTTTGACCAATTCAGTTCCTGTAGACTGCAATAGTTCTACTGGTGCCCTATCTGCTCTAGGTGTTTTATTCCTTCCAAGTGCTAACAGAATATCTTTCATTTCAGTTTCTAAAGTTACACATTTTTCCTCATAGGATTCTTCCTGGAAGGAATCTGTCATCCCTTCATCTCTTATGTATAGGACATGCTTTCCACCCTCTCTTTATTTTCTCCGAGTCAGTAGTGTTCCCCTTTAAAGGCTGCTCTTGCCGAAATCTCCTTGCACCTACTCATCTGAAATTTGGCAGTTTGGCCCACCCCAAATTAAGGCTAACTATCCCAGCAAATTATATCACATTTATGTTAAAAAAAATGAGTATCTGTAGTTCTTATTTAAAGTAAGCATATTTAAGACAATGCAAGGTCCGGGGGTCACTGTAGATCCCGGTCACCTCAAGCGCCCGTCCTCACTTCTCTCTCTTTTCAGCAGTAGCTCCAGCTTTGCGCTATTGCTTATTTTAGCAGCGGGCTGGCTGTTGTGTTCTAGGTGACAAGAGGAAGTTTTAGTGTGGGAGTCAGGAGACGAGCCATTTTGTCAGCTAGGAGGGAACTGAGAACACAGGGTCAATGAACCAATTACCTGTGATCAGAAGGAAGCCCAAGAAGCAAAGAACAACATGATCAAAGAACAACTGTTTTAGTGTTCTACAAAGGTAGTGAAGAGAAATATTAATGTATTGGCACGAGATAGAGAGGGAGGGAGGGAGGGAGGGAGGGAGGGAGAGAGAAAGAAATTGCAGTGTGTATCTGTCGTGCAGCATTTGCAGCATGGAATATTCAAATGCAGTCTTACAGTGACGAGAAAAAACCCATCCCAATCCAAGGACCAAGGGAGCCTCTCAGAATTTGCCAGCTTAGCCATTGACTAGTGAGGCCTGTTGTGGCTCAAGTGGGAAAGAGATATGTAACTGGCTTCCATCTGAGTACAGTGCATGGTGTCACTGAGTAAGCAGAAGGGAGACAATTCTGCCTATAGCCTAGGAAAGATCACCAATTTGCCTTGACAGTTATTCCTGCTTGAAAAATAGTTCCTGCTTATAAATAATCAAGATTGCTGTAGTTTTGTCTAGCTCAGTGACAAAACAGTCTGTTCTTTCATGTGACAAAAAGGCTTCAGCATGGAAAGAATGGGTCAATTATTAACACCTGGTGAGATTTCTGATGGAAAATATTACAAACTCTGTTATTTACTAAAAATCAATACATTATTAATCCACCTATTTTAACTTAGATTCAACTGACACAGAATAATTTATTTAACAGTAGCCACTCATTTAAGACATTAACAATTCATTCCTAAATATGTCAAATACTGGGTATGTTCTACTCAATTAAACTTAGTTCCAAGGATGTTTGCATAGAATTGTAGCCTAAAACATTGTCTGACATTCTGGACACTGATTCCAATAAGGAGATATGGATGAGCGAAAGTATTGGATAATATCTGCCCCCACTTCCCCAGAAACCCTTCCTAGGCTTGCCACACCTGCAACAAAACCATCAGGAGAAGGAATTAGTGAGACTTTTCAGATGTTTGCCAAATGTCAACTCAACAGAGAGCTACTGTAGCATATTGCTGTGCCTCTGGGAAAGGACACACACACATTTTGGTGGTACACAAAACTGGAATGGCGTAGAACAGTGGACCCCAATCTTCTGGGACATGGAGGCTGCATTAGAGTGCCCAATGCCTAAAGAGGACTACAAATTCAACATCAATGAATTGCCTACCACTCTCAGTAATATATTTAGCAACACAAAAGCGTTGATTTTTTAAGTGCATTTATCTTGTTCACTCACACCTCTCCTTGATATACTGAGGAGCTCTTGTGACAGGATTCAAAGTGCCCTTTTACACTGTACTCCTTTCATACTGAGACAATTTCAAGACATATCAGGCAAACTGCTTTATCCTTGTTTAAAACAAAGAAGTACAAAGAAATGGACTACTCCATTAGTCATTAAAGACATGGTGCTCATCTGCAATTTTAATTTCCTTGAAACTGAAGACATCTTACAGAATTTTTAGCAGAGCAACAGCTGCAGAGTTTCAGTATTATCCTTAATTCAATAAAAGTATGAGAAGTATAATTTTAGGGATCTAACTCTTCCCTTTCCCTAGTTTTTGCCATGGTCAAAATGAAAATCCAAGCTAACAGCAGCCAGAGTGGGGTTCATTTGATGGGAAACGGAAGCTCTCACCCTTGCAGAGGGAGAAGATGATTGAATCTCAATCCTAAATCATAAAAGGAAGTGATCTGAAGAAGACCAAGAGGTTCATGCCAATTTGCTCACTTTCAGATCACTATTTAAATTGTAGCCCACTTGCGCTGCAATTTCTATCATCACTGCCAATGCATAATTTGTTGTATCATCTGAACTTGGCTGACATGGATTTTTGGAGGTGGAAACAACCATCAAATAACCCTATAACAGTCAGAGGTCTTATTTTGATCATGTCATCTTTTTCTGCTGTGTTGGTATTATCAAAGCAACTGTCACAGGAAATGAAAATAATCTAACCACAATAACCACACCTCCACACCCCAATATTGCTAAGGAACAAAGTGTGTGAAATCAACACATGTATTACTGAAACAAATGACTAACTTCTTGTGGCTTAATACATGTGGCAAAGATTAATGCCCTGAATTTCTTTTTGATGGTTTCCCATCATAGATATTTTTTCTTGTTATCAACATAAATCAAGAGTCAGTAATTAGAACTCAGTTTTCCTCCTATAGCACTCTTTTGCCTTAGCCAGTCCCTGTACTTTTGCAACACAAAAGTGACCTAGAATGACCAGTCATACTTTCATTCATTTTAGATAATGTTCCAAAACAAATTATGAAAATTATTTTAGGAAGCACATACAACATGCATTTGGATCCAGGAAGGAGTAAGCGGACCTTGACTCATGCAAGAGGACTAAGCTGCATAAGCAGCACTGCTTTTCCACTCATGCACGGTAACCCTTGATCTACATCAGAAAGGTATCCTTTTGGGGTACTGGGCATTCTAGAACCTTATAAAATGGCCATCTTGTAAAGTATTTCATCCTTGGCCATCTTCCAGTCTGACTATAGCCTTCCTTTGTATATCCAATTGGTAGAGAGAATTATAAATGGGTAACATCCAGCCTGGGTGTAATATCTTTTAGCTCAACCCTTTACAGCTTACATCTGATGCAGCAAAGGCAGGTATTTTGCCAGTGTTGGTGTCCCCACGCTAATTCTGGGCCAGCAGTGTTCAGTGCCAGTTGAGATACTTGCCACATGGAACTGTTTAACAGCTCTTACTATGCTGGCATCCAGCATCCATCAAAACTGTTTATAATGCAGTCATAATGCAGATCACATTAACAAAGCCAATACAATAAAACCAGCATTTATTTATTACATTTATACAACATCTAATAGTCAAAGCTGTCTGGGGATTACTTTCTGTCACATGATTATCAGAACAAAAACAAACAACTCAAAACCAAAAAACCAGCAACAGAATACTCATCAACTAGAGCCAAACTGATTAATTTTAGAAAAATCAACTAAGAAAATAAAAAAGAGAAGTTCAGTGCCACCTCTGGGGGATCTTCCACAGACACATCAACACATCTGAAAAGGCCCACTTTTGGGTACCATCTTTCATAATGTCAGTACCTTAGAGGCCAGAGAGGGGTGTCTGATGAAGAGTAGATTGGTAGGTACATTTGTGAGGTGGCTCTTCAGATACAATAGGCCCAGGCCATTGGTATTTTTATTTTTCTAGCAAATATAGAGGCTACCCTTCAGCACAAGGTTCTCAGGATAGTGTATATACTTTGCAATTTTAGAAAGAAAGAAAAAGACAATATGAAAAAGCAAACAACAGGAGGAGCTTGGGCAGGAAGAGGTCTTGTACCTATCCGGCTTGAGCAATCCTGTGGGCAGCTGTTTTGTCACTCTGTATAAGGAGTACTGGACTAGATGAACCTTTGGTCTGATCCAGCATGGCTGTTCTTATGAAGGAAGTAGAAGGCTCATTCTCTTCCTGCTGTTAGGCAGACTCTGAAAATAGATTTGCTTAAAAAGTCAGCTGGTGTATCATTTATGTCAGCCTCCCCCAACCTTGTACCTTCCAGACACATTTGAACTACAACATCCAGAATTCCCAGTCAATGGCCCTGCTGGATGAGAATTCTGGGAGTTGCAGTCCAAATGTTACTGAAGGCCACCAGGGTGGGGAAGGCTGATTTATGCTATATCATTGTTT